TATTAACATTGACGTGACCTATCGGTGACTACGCACGTGCCATGGTGGGACGGTGACACATTCCTATAGTAGTGTCGGGTAAATTTGGTATTTTAGATTGTGAGTGAAACGAGGAATGTAACTATTTGTTTTACAATGATGCAAGTTTTTTTCTTGTGCCTGTCATCGAGTGAAAAGTCGTGACATCAGCAGAAATTTTTTTTCGATCATCTCCCATCACATTGAAGGTGATTTCCAAAACCAGTTTTTATCCAGACTGTACTTTGGGTAGGTAAAAGTTACAGCACTTTTGTATTTTTCTAATAATTAGAAAAATTGCCATACTATCAATAAAGGTCAATATTTGCGTGACACTGGTTATACATAAATAATCGTTGATGATTGAAATTTTCTCTAAATACTCACGTTATATCGTTTATTAGATTTTTTACAAAATTCAAAAAATTTTACATTTCTTGAAGTATATTATATGAAATTTTAAATTTTTCGACTTGATTTAGTCTTTTAGTTTCTTTAAAATATTTTGATAAAATATTTTACTCTCTTTCATGAGGTTTGACAATTTTCTACAACAAGTAAGTTGTTCTCACATGCATTAGTTATAAAATATTACCTTAAATAGTCACTATTTTTGATTTAAATAAGTTAAATTATTAATGAAATTCGTTCAAATTATAATAATTTTCTAATTAGTTTAATTATTTTAGTTAAAATCATAACAATTAATAGTAATATAATATCAATTAATTTAATATTTATGAATTGTGATTAACACACAATCAGAAATCGTTTTCCTACCATTCATATACAATCATCTATCTTTAAATTTAACACATCCATTACTTAAGTGATCTGCTCAATGACAAAGTACACTCGAAACCGAAAAACCAACAATTTTGGTTGTTATGTAACTAATGTTATGCGTAGTGTAACAACGTTACTTTGATTATAATTTATAACCTATTTGTACCATTTTGAGTATCGAGAATTAAAAACAAAAAAATTAGGGCAATGAATTTTTTTATTTGTGATCGACATCACCTCACTGTGATTAATTATATGGACCAAAGAAAAATGCACTGGAATAAAAAATCAAAATGAATTCGACATATCCTTGTGGGTGTTGTGTTAAGAGCTCTCGAGGTTTTATAATAGATAATATTATTAATTTTTTTTTAGTTAGCGACTGGCATTCAACTTTAATTAAATKCTTGGTAAAAAAAACGTATTGTGATTTATGTTAACGCATAACATTATTATTACAAAATATGGACGAAATTAATTTTTGAAATATCAATTAATTAGTAATTGGTATAAAAAAATTCTTTTTTTTCACCATCAAATTAAAAATTAGCAATTATGATAGGTACTCGCTATATAAATATTTACTTATATCGATTCGTTAATGTGTGAGCAAATATAATATTGTATAACACACATAATAATAACTATATATTATGATAAATTTATTCAATCAAAATAACTAAAAAAAATCAATACATGCAATACAATATAAACTTTAAGTTGTAATATTATAATTTATAGTAAAAAAATACCGATTCGAGCCCTAGCACCACATATAAATACCTCATTTTTATGTAAATAACTACCACTATATCTACCGAAATAAAAAAAAAATAAAAACATTGCGAACGAGAATGAACCATTAATTTTAGTATATTGTTCTCAATCAGTACGACTACCTATCATACTTAGGTGCCTATATTATAAAATCAGAAGTGTTTTCAGCTGATCGTGTTACTGTTCAGTCATAAGTCGTGTTTTTTTCCACGACAAACTGTGATAAATTTCATTGGAAACCTTTTAAAACGGTAAACTTATTTATATATTTTTATCTACCGTTTATTGACGTGGATCATTTCATCGCGTACCTATATTTATATACTAAAACCTACATTTTACTTGCGGAGACGGAAGTAGAACATTTTACTTAGTGAAATGCTAAATATATGAGACTAGTTTAAACTGTAGAAGATTTGTTTTTTGTTTAATATTTATTACCCGAATCGCTATACATCATGTCGCTTATATATTATACCATGTACAGTGACGGTTTAGTGTTATGTATACACTAAACTCGTATATTATAGTAAACCAGTGTTTGTATAACGTAATATTATTACGCGCACGTCGTCGTCGTCGTCTCGTTATTAAATAGAAAAAATAGGCATACCTATATAATCAGAGGCGGATTAAAGTTTTCACTTTCGTTTCTCGGGTCGGCCCCGTGATGATGAGAGTTGCGAGGAATCCCATATATATTATTATGTTGTAGGTATAATAATAATATGTACATATTTGTATGTAAATCATTAAACATTAAACGCACACACGATATTCTAATGGCAATATGACGTGCAGTGTGCACTATAGGTATTCATATAAGCTCCTATACCTATATATATATATATATATATATATATCATTATTATAATAATTAATAACATTCAACATAATAAATAATAATATAGGGTAAGCTAACTCGGACGGACGTCCGAAAAAGTTTGTTTCGTATCACGTTTCACCGGCCGTTTCTCATATTTTTTCTCACAAATATTTAGTTCGTTCTATAGCATAGGCGCAACTAAGGGGGTGCTTGGAGGTGCTGAAGCACCCCAGATCAAAAACACCAAAAATGGAAAAATCATATGAAAAAGTTTTTTTTGTTTTACGTAAGGTTGTTTAAATATTGAAWGAGATGTTGTTAATAAAATTACTTCTTCAGAAATATTGGAAATATATTCCAATTCCACTAATAAAAGCAAAATAGTATTAGTATAAAATAGTATATTATATATTATGTATAATATTTTATATTATGTAAACATACTAACATAGTATTATTACCTAACCTTTGAGATGATTGTGCCTCATGTAAGTGACTGCTAAAAATGTAAATTGTATAATTATTTTGACATCAGTTATTAAAAAAATAAATATTATTTATCTGTTTATACTTGGTCATTATTTGAATCACCTAAATAATAATACGATAGGTAATATAATATAATATAATATATATATAATATACCTAATGTATTTATGAGGTAAATATTAGTGTGCTTATGTTTTTATAATGCATTTAAGATTGGTTATAGTTATTATAAAATTGAAATATGGTACTTGGGGTGTGGGGGCGTAGCCCCCACGGGTCCGTTTCATCTACATAATTTTAGCCCCCCAGTGTTTGGCCTCTAGTTGCGCTTATGTTCTATAGTATATTAACTAAAATATCTGCGTAAGGTCAAGACTCAAGAGAAAGCGTGCAGTGCACCTACAGCACTTTACGATCATTTCCGTTGCATAACGATGTCACAGGAATGTAACTCACGCGTTTACAATAACAATTATTTTTATTATTTATTATTATGTTATTAGGTTTCGTCGTCCTAGTCTCCCAACGGCTCTGATCTACCATAATATTTTCGTTAAATATTCGAATACCATAGGTATTATCATTGTAAACAGACGAACGCACGACGTCATCGTAACCGTTGACCATTCCACTTCGAATGCAATATTATAACAACGGTGTATTATTATAGTCGCACAAAAATCGAAAATGAATGAAGACTACCCGCATTATACCCACATGTTATTATTATGCACCAGTATATAATATTATTATTGTGACATGTACAGTAATGACTAATGTTCCGAGTTTACCACCACTAAAGAGTTTCTACTAAAGCAGTGTCAGCAAGCACGGAGTAATGGCGGAAAACGCGGTCCCAAGACCCATTGATTTTGTTGGCCCATGTTTATGCCTAAATATTTTCCTTCTTTATGCATTAGAAAATATTTTTTTTAAATCAAATAATACTTTAATAGGCAGTAGGTAATAAAAAATAAAAATGATCTTAATTTTATATCACGAATTATTACTAGATAATATCAAATTTATATTCTAATAATAACTAATAAAAATCTGATGAATTTAATAAAATGAAAGTTGTGAACTACATTTTACGCATAGTTGATAGGCTTGATTATCTATATGGTTGTACGTGTTAATATAGAAGATAATCATACAATTATATTCACTGTGGGATACAATAAAGTAATTTAATTTTTTGAAGTTAAGTCGAAAGGGGGGCCACAAAATGTTTGGTGTCCCAGCGACAAATTGATTCTTAATCCGAGCTTCAGCTATGGGTGGGTAATGTAACTAATAAGTGATGATTTAGTAATGATAAAAGTATTTTGATAATGGTCAAATTCAGGTTCGATATAGAGTGACGTGAATATTACCTAACATCTCAACAATTTCAAGTTCACAACGCCACTGTATTTGACTAATAAGCTAAAACAAGTACAGACATTACATATTATGCACTTCAACATTTTTCGCCACGATACACGCGTTAGTATTAAATTATTTATTATTATAATTATTTTTTTATTATTATTGGGATTAGAATGTGGGACGAGAAAATCGAACGGTATGTAATATCGGAGTGAGAAAAAAATAAAATTAAAATACGTTTTAATAATTGGATCTTATTGATGCGTATTGAAGTTATGGGGTTGAGGAAATCGTAATTGGTTGCACTGAATTATTATAATAATATACAACTACTTGATCAAGGTTGATTCGATTCCGAAGAGGATATGTAAATGTAAAGTGTACGGAACTAGTAATAAGTAATACGTTTGTACTGTTATATAATAATAGATTTCTAAGGGTAGTTTAAGGATCAACGTAAAACTGCAGATAATGCCGAGTGTGCTATTATATTATTGATTGTAATAACAGCATCGACCACTATACACACAATAACAATGCAGTCAATTAATTTATTTGGTTAATATTACGTTCAGTCGTTTATTTACATGAAAAAAAAAAAACAATAAAACTAGAGTAGGTAATACTAAAAATAATAATCAGATCGTACGGTATGAATAACATAGGCTCATAGTAGGCACATCGAGACGAGTGACACTTATGAATATTAATATTCGGTTGTTGTACTATTGTAGTATTGTATAGTTTTATATGTGTAATATTTTATTATAACGCTATTATAAATTATGCCAAAAACGGCCGCGATGGTGGTCATGAACAGGAATATTGTGCATGGATGCCACGACGTGATTAGATTCCGCTTTGGTACTGTTTCAGCATCTTAGTGTACTCCTTGGGATAATTCTTCTGTATATGTGACATAACGCGTTGGATCTGTTTGATTTCCGACTGCGAGCACTTGACGCACATTCCTCTCAATACTAGCGGTGCATGAGCTGAAAATAAGAAAATGTAAATTAAACGGCGATAAGATTGTGACAAAAGCTGTAAATGGTGGGAGAGTGGGAGATATGTATGTAGGTACGTTGACAATTTATTAACTAATATGAAAATGACTATTATCGTCATTAATATACGCCATGTGTTTATACACATAACCTAAAAATGGGTACAACTATCTACTTACAGACTTATCATATAATATATGACCAGATTATTTAAATAGTATTATTTTTTACTTTATTATAATTTTTATTTGTGGTGATTACATTTTTAGGTAATGTTGTCTATTTAACTTATAACTAATACGTATACACGCTGTAGTTGAACACACACGAATGTTACGAATACACAACACAATTATGATGAACAAGTTATTTTAAGTTGTATTTAAATTTGATACRAATAACAATCTACATATATCCGAAATAAGCTAACAGTTATTTATATAAGTGTATATTATGAGGGTCGTGCAATAATGAATTTACCATTCGAAAGCGAATACCAATTTTGAGAGATATTCGAGATAAAGATAAAACCACCTAATACATATATGTATATTATACGTAAACAGAGAACTTACTCGACCTATAACAATAGTCTGGCAAATAACCCATTGTCATTATTAGCGTGGCCAGCACAAATCAATGGTATCAGATTAGATTCGTTTTAAATATTATTATATATGGTTTTTAAAAGACATTACTATAAATAGAAGTAGAGTCAACCATAGAACTATTTATATATATATATATATATATATATATCAAAAATATTGATCACGTCTTAATAAAATCGCATAATTCTAACCAAACACACACCTGATATATGAACATAACGTAATAACAACGTGATAAATCTTTAGGATGATTATTGTTTTCACTGACCTTTAATTTTTCGGCCAATGGGATCGCAAGGTCCTTCGCCAGTAGCACACTTGAGTTGCCTTAGCACGAACCTCCTGTCACTAAGCGCCTTTTCGAGGACGTCCTCACTGACATTTGGAAGCGACGAATCTTGCTGAGTCGAGACGACCTGAGGAGTAGCTCGTTTCACTATGGTCATCGGAAGTGGTGAGGCTAAAGTCTCCGATTTGAACACAGCCGGTTTGATTTCCACTTTCGTGTCGTCCGGACGAGCGAGGGCGGCGCACACAGATATGGCGATTACGAATACCTTGTGAGGAAAAATTATATGTTTTTTTAATTTCTAATAATAATAATTATCGATACATATAATGTAATATTTTGTTTGGACGTATGTGAACCATTAATAAACGAAAACATTACATTAAACAAAAGCTCGTTGGGAAATGTTATTTTTATCGCGATCGTCCTAGATTATTGTGTATCGTATTAAATTGTATTATTGTACCGTACCGACGTTTTAAAACGTCTACTTCGAGGATAAATGTCTTAACATTTCTTAGAATCATAATTCCTTACTGAAGTCTCAAAAACAAAAGGTTGACATTTTAAGTTATTCTCCAGAATAAAAACGACGAATAACCCCGGTACAGCAAATGGGCTTTGGAAGTCATCCAAATAAATTTACAAATTGTTATGATTTGTGCTATAATAATTCATCGTACCACTGGTCAGGTATTATATTATTTTATAGCCGTTTTCGAAACCGACTTTATTGTACATAATAATAGTAATGTAATCTCAACGCAATGTGTTCACTGCAGGGTTAAGTTGTTGAAGATTATCTTTTCCTTCCACATGCTGTACGCTTCATTGCTACGGCAGAAAAATAAGTGCAAAGATTTTTATTTTATAAGCTCTTTTAAAATAATATTTTATTGCAATCAAATTTTAATAATAAAAAAATCAATAAATAAACCACTAATTCACAATAGGTACTGCAGTCTACCCACTATCCAGATACATTATAATACTATTAAAATTGATAAACAATACAATTATCATATTATGTTCAGAGTTGTATTTGTTTTCAAAATGACCCGCAAAAATAAAATATTAAAACGATCGTTTCATTCTCGATGTGTTTTAAAAATAATCACTTAATTTAATATACTAGTGCACACTRTATTTGATGAACATTGAACACAGTAAACTGACGACAAAAAAAAAATTACAATATAATCGTTCACAGCTATTGCAGTCCATATAATTCGTATGAAATGTGCGCGAGAACTCATCGGTCGTATTTATCTCTACTTTATTCGGCTCATTCACCAGGCAGCGAATTTTCGAGTGCATTTATGTAAAAATGTCACGGACACTCTAACGATAGCGCCCATGTTAATTCTCGGCCGTAGATCACACACCTACATATACAACTGCCATAATAACTTTATTCAGTGGGCGGCAGTTTCAACCCCTCCGGAGTGGTATATAGTCAATTTATGGCGTAAAAATATTCGGTTAGAAAAAATATTTATGATATGAAAATTGCCCGGTGACAGCAGAGCAGATGAAATCGGTCCTGTTTTGTGACTCAACCCGTAAAATTGACGAGACCTTTAACCACCTGCCCCGCCGGGGGAAAAATCGGTATATAGCGTTGGTAATACAGTTTTTCCGCTTATAATTCCACCAAGTAAGAACGGAATCAAGGGAAAACTTTCTCTCCCTCTATTTTTGACGTATTTTTTATTGGAATTCAATTTAAAATAACAGCAAAAGTGACTTCACCCGGCCTATATAAGTTTTTATAACCTCTGGAACCCCAACGTTAGTGTGTGTACGTGGGCACGTTTATGCGTGAAGTAGTGCTAAACCCTAAACATTAACAAAACATTTCAAGGCAGAGTTTAAAATAAATCACGCATAGCACAAAGTTGTTTTCCCAAAATAAATTATTTAATTTCCACCGATAAATATTAATGGTCTATTGAGTAATTCAAATTTGAATACGTAACGATCGGCAAGTTTTGATAAAGATTTTTACTGAATAAAAAACGAAAATAATACATTGTTATAACAACGTTATTAGGTACTAAAATTATATTCATTTTATATGGGTCAATAACGTAACATCGGTTTATTTATAATGAATAAAACATTATTTATATTTAATTTTAAAATTATKAACAATACTTTAAAAAAATGCATGTATATTATTATTTTTAAATTATGTTTAGATTTCGAAAAAGTACAAGACATTTTCCAGTACCTATATCCTGTTAACATTTTTTTTGTTATTATCTATAAAATATGGTGCACAATATTATAGGGTCATGATATTACAAACGTTTAATAATATGAAATATTATGAGAACGGTGCGTATTTTATACGAATACTTTGTGATATATATATATAATATATTATAATATTCGTATTAATAAAAGTCAAATTATAATCTAACACATATCAAAAAGTCGTAGAGTTCAAAAATGTCTAATTTAATTTCAACTATTCATTCATTCTTACGCATAATTAAGATAAAAACCCAAGAAAAAATGCACGCATGTCTATTACACTTCCTGTTTCGTTTTTAAAATATACGATAAACTAATGATAAACCGTAATGGTACTTGATTACCTACATGGCTACATAACATACTTATTGATATGTCATTGTGTCAGTAAACTGATACCACAGCTATTTATGTGATACATAATTTCGATTAAAACCTCAATTTTTTTGTAATAATTTCTAAGTAGTTTTCGATGAAATATTCATTTTCCACTCGTCAAATGTAAAATAATTAAATTTTATTATTACAATTGTATTACATTATTCAAACAAAAATTAAGTTTGTAAACATTTTTAAAACATTATATGGGAATATGCGATATTATTATAATTTTGGTACAATATGATTATAGAGCTAGCTGAGAATCTATTTTTTTTTATTTTTTATTTTTTTTTTATTATAAATCATCATATTAGATGTATAATATTAAGAATTGAAAAATAAACTCAAGTATTGCAGCCTGCAAGATATTTTTAGTACATTAATTATGTATAGATTTTTTATTTAAAGTTATCAATAACAATTATAAATTTGTTATATTATTTCATTTCACAATTTAATACATCTACATTTACAATAACGATGCTGTTGATCAAAGATCTATCCAAGTTAAACACTACAATAGTTATTGGCAAAAGGGAACACTTAAGTATAGGTGTATAGAACTGGCGATTGTCTCTTACAACTAAGGGTAACCGTTTTCGAACCCGAAATTCATCAAGTTATCCTGTTATTATCGTGATATTATCATATTTCCATCAGAGTTGAGAGCTTACTGTGAAATGCATATTTGGAATTCACCTTAGTGCTTAGAAAATTTGCCGAAGAGGGTGACTATTTTAATTGAAAATTTAGCCAACTCAAAACTATATTGTACATTATTATTTCCTCCTATACGAGTACCTACCCATCTAATAATACCACTCAAGAAACATGAAAATTAAATTACACGTTTTCAACAACATCACAGAGTTTATTTTAGGCATGAAAACACTACTCCCAAAATCGTAATTTTAATCATTATATTTGTTGACACGTAAGTAATAATTATTAAAATAAAACTATTTGATAGTAATTTTAAGTACAATTTAATTTTTGTTATTGATACTGTAGGTCAAATAATWATTAATAAAATAAAGTTTCTTTATTCAATATTCAGAAATAAAATCACCCAATATTGTTCATCTTTTGGCCTCCTTGTGCGTGTATAATATCKTAATATATATATTATAATATTTAAGATAAAAACCTTTTTTTTCTTTCACTTTACACTACGGGGATGAATATTTTTTTTTCTTCTGAAATGTAAAGCATAGTAATCTCCGGTTAGCGTGATGTCAATACGGGTACATAATAATCTTTGATGAATCAAAGAAACGGTTTTATTAAATAGTCAGACATTTTGAACTAAATAAACTGAGGAAATGTGATGGTTTTTGTGTATTTCAGATAATGTTATTTTATCATAGTTAAATTTAATCACATTAAGTATTTATGGTTTTCAACCAAATCATAAATAATAATGAGCTTTAATAAACTCAAATGAACATAAGAAAAAATCTAAATTCAAAAGGTCACTTATATTATGTTATAGAAGTTATTTCTTAAGTCAAAACTCTCAGATAGGTACGTATAAAATTATTAATAAAATAGATAATATATAAGTTATATATTATATTTATTCTATATATTATGTGAAATAATAATTATATGAGTACGTTACTTTAAAGCCTACACGTTATCTTGGATAATTATAAAACACTATTAGAATATCTACGTTATATTAATTGATAAATAATTGGATGGTAAAATATTATACTAATGCATTTGTTTGTAACGTAACTGATGAATACCCATAAGTATTTGACACCCTACACGATTAGCCTCAGCTCAAGGTGTGATTAAAATTAAATGAAGAAACACATTGACGACTACATAAATATTAAATACGTACCTACACTAAAATATATTAAGATATGATTCAAAATTCCGGACAATTCCAAGCATCTTTAAACATAYTTAATGAAAAATTAGATAAATGTTTAAATTATGATAATAAATTTTATTATTATTATCATTATTATTATTCGTGATACAGCATCAACTACTAAGTTGTTAGCTTACAACTAAATAATTATTATTTATACAAAAAAAAAAGAAATGTTTCCTAAACCACGTTTATTAATATAATATTTTCATTGTACATTATTTAAAATTTATTTTAAACTAAGTTTGGGAAATATTACGAACAGGTATGGTAATAGACAATATTATGATATAAAGTGATTATTTTAATACAGAAAACTCATTAAATTAGAGTTCAGATTTGTAAGTAAATACTATTCTTGCTGTGATTAAACAATATTATTTGGGCAAACGATAAAATCCATCTCAAATAATTWATAATAAAATAAGCCATACTTGATATTAAATATTTTTACTTATTTCTCAATAAATCTATTTCTTCCAACATATTTACACAAAATTGATAATGAACAATTGTATTTCTCAACTGTATAAGYTAATCTTTCATTCTTTGATAAATAAGTGTTTTCAAAAGTATGTGCAGAAAATATCACCGGTCATGACATCAAATTTATGGTCGATATGAGTTAAGTTATCGAGTTTTTTGACCCAGACAAACGATTGTCAATAATATATCATAAAAAATGCATAGTATTTCAAATAAAAATCCCGAATTAAACTACCTAACATTAATCAGAAATATCCAATATCCATTAGGGAATACATTCGATATCATTGCAATATTATAAGTTATATCTAATTAATAAATTATTTATTTCAAATATAGAGTTTTACACAAATTACATCTCTTGAACTCTAGCATTCTCTTAGTCAGGACAAGCATAATGTATTAAGGATTTGTCTTAATGGTGGATCCGTGGATCATTTAACTTGAACAATTCAGGACATTTTTTTGTTACACATATATTTACATACTTTGTTTTTTTTAATACGCCATATAAATCAGAGCACAACTCATTATACTATTTAATTATTATGTTTTTGTAATTAATTAATTATATAATAATTATGTGATTATAAGTTAAGTTATAATATCATAATATTTTTTTTTTACAAACAAAACAAACGTACGGATATTTCATGGAGATTTTTATTTTTTATAAAAGACGAGTGGATTATTGTTATTAAAATGTTTATGCACAATTAAAAATAAATTTTATTTTTTCTTATTTATGTAGCCATTAAAATGTTTATGAGTAAATGAGTCACTACTAAATGTTCTGAAAAGCAATCCCAATAAATGCACTCCAAAAATCAATGATCTTTTTAGTTTTTCATATTATTTTAAAATATTTTTTAAGAAAACAAGAAAAATATGTGTTTTTATTTGAACAAACAATAGCCTTTAGTGATTYCGTTATTCTGTTGCAATGATGGCTCAATCATTGGTACACGTCTTAATTGGTATTCAAAAAACCCTTTTTTTAAATAATAGTTGCTATACATAAACTAATGAATAAAACAATGATCGATTCCTAATTCGTTAAAAGCGTTTTTACGTTTTTTATTGTTTTTCAATATCTTAAAGTAACAACATCAAATGTTTAAAATGTGAAATACGATTTCCTCAGTCGTTATGGAATTCCATAGCCCTGGGTAATGTCACTGATCACCTAAATATTTCATAAAATATTTTAGCACGCGCGGAGGCCATCATCTCTTGAATTATAAAACGTCCATGACCTTGATTAATTAATTATTATATCATCACTCGTCTATACGTATTATTATTTTTAACATGCGTGTAAATTCATTGCTCTCGTGCAGGCGGAAGCGTGGCTTGCATCGCCAATTATATAGTAAAAAGTGCGTATTGATAATTCTCACACATTTAAAACTCGTATAAAATTATGTTTAGCTCGTCTGTGTGTATTGATAGGAAAAATATATAAATTAAAATTATCGAAATCGAAAGAAAAATGTGAAATTATAATTTCCCACAGTAGGTTAGGTTAGGYACTAGTAGAAATATTATGTTCATGCAGTCAGCGTAGTTGTGTCCACAACCCCAGCCCCCGTTACCAGTATAAAAACATTATTAATAAAAGATAAATGAAACGTTTTTAAATAATTTTAATCGACTGAAATCATTCGCGATATTAAATTTTGATATAGGCAATAATTATAACGATGAACCTAGTATTTATACTTCTAGGTACTCACTTTCATGGTGATATTTGATGACGATCTGGCCATAGCGTAATATTTGCGCGTTCGACTTTAATTATATTAATATATTATGTCAATACAATGTATCACGGTTATCGGTAGTAATAACACTGGTGAAGGTAGATGCAATGACCGGCTTCTTATAGACTTTCCCTACCTCTCGGGATGCAAGGACAGTATACAGACACACGCACGACTAAGCGTCCGCTAGTAATAAATCATGTGCCTGCGATGTGTTTTTAATAATATTTTTTTTTCTGTTGACATTAAATCATGTGGATGACCGAAACTAGCTAACGTACAATTTAATGATAGAAACGGATTTCCAACACACAAACACATTACACAGATCAATATACATGTATACTGTATAATGATTCATCAAGCATGCTCAACCCCAATTTGTTTGTTTGATAGGAATATGCATTTACATCACTAGAATTTTCAAGTATAGATACATAAAAATGTTTTTTTTTAATTTTTTTTTTTTCAGAATATTTTAGCAATTAATATTAAAATATTAGCATTTTTACGTTTTTAAAAATTATCTAAGCATAATGAGCACAACTTTCTTTATTGAACAAAGAGCTATTTTGTTATATGTGTCAGTTGGGCAACAAAATTAGTTGGTGAATAAAACTATAGACCACTAGATACAATAATGACATATAAAACGAGTTAAAAGACGTATTCCAACGGAGATAYCTAGCTACTTCGTATTAATAAGTACCTACTAAATAGACTGAATAAAACATAATTTATAAATTTGATGACACTTAAACCATTACTAAGGAAGTAAGGAATATCACTAAAAAAAGCTAAACATGCCTGCTAAATCGCTTATCGTTTTTACTATTAGTAATTTGGGAAATTATTTGAACTATTATTAAACTATGTTACCAATATTAAATACCATATTATGTAATACTTACAATATTTTAAAATATTATAATAATATAATGAAAACAATTAATAATATATTCTAGGCCCTATAATGTCTATTATTATATTGCCATTGAGTGAGCATGTTCGGTAAATCTTCCATCACTCTTTATTATACGTATATATAGTACCTACCAGGGTAGGTATTAAGGGGAGRCAAAACAGAATTTTTCCAGGACCTCGCGTATTCAAGGGCCTCGCGCTTAAAATTTACATTGAAAAATAGTGTACATGAAAATCCTATACGCTATAGGTGACTATGGTTATTGGTTTAATAAGTTTTGTCCAGGGCCTAGCAAAAGGTAGCGCMRCGCCGGCCCTCACCTTCAATTTTATAACAAATAAAAATGATATAAAAAAAACGACAAATTACTTAAAGTAGGTATCCAGAGATAACTTGATGCTTTCTTGTCATCATCAGTGTGATAATACAAATATACACCTCTAACTACGATAAGACACGTACCTATCAGAAACTTATTCATACAACTAAATATTATATAAATCCGTTTTGTATRTACTTTACCTATTGAGTTCGTACATAGGTATATTATATCACAAAAATGAAAATGTATTATCTGAATAAATAATTAACGCGAATAACCAAAAAAATTAATAGGTATTTTTCAAAATTATAACAACATAATATATTCAAGAGCTTTGCTCATTATAATAATTTTAACTGTTCTAATTTTAAGTTTATCTCTGAATTGGCTACTTAAACATTTACAGAGATAAACAATATCTGTATGAATCTTTTTTTTATTCGAATCGTTGATATCCGTTCGAACGTTTAAATTTAAAACAGTTGTGTTATGGTTACTGAAAATTAAAGACTACACAACGTAGCTATGCTACCAAAATAGCTAACACTGTATAATTTTGTCCTGGACCAGTCAACATAGAAAAAATCTTAAATCGACTAAATTATATAATATTTTTAAATTGTAAACATCCAAAGCCAATGGCGTTTGTTGTCACGGGTTCATTCAAATAAAAATTTGTGAATATATTTTGTATTTAGTGCACGTTAATGTGCCTATTCAATATTATTCGTCGTATAAAAAGCACAACTATAGATAATAAGCTCACTAATGGTCGACCCCTCACAAATGAGGTTTATATACCACAAAAAAATATAATAATTCGATCGCATTACGTAAAATTCATAAAATGCATTTATCCGTYGCCGCGTGTTATTTTATAATACCAAGTAGTATATTGTACCCATTGCATAAGTCGCCTAAGTCTAAGCTGTTTATGTTACAAACGCGTATTATTTCACGTTATTCGTATTATACAAATACCACGACAATAGTGTACGCCATTTTAATAGCCATAAATATGATCATGTCTTAAAATATGTTATGATTGTGATTTGTAGTATAATACTATAATGTACCTACACACTACATGTGAATAGYGGCAGCGTTTTACGTAATTATTATACATTAAAATTTAATATATTAGGATTATATATTAAAATATGTCGTATTATTATTATTATTATTATTTTGTTCGCCGGTATAATATGCAACTCAAAACCAGATCTAGGCATATATATTATATTATGACTAGGTAGATTATTATTTACCGATTAGTGATCTCAACGACGGGTGTTATGGATTTTGATCCGTCTTATTGTTAATGAAGTTTAATAATTCCTATAAAAGTTTTAAATCAAATAAATTATATATTAAAAATGTTTCTAATTATTTTTTCCCCGCTTTGTTGCATTCTTTTTTTCACATAGATTATAAAAGTTTAAAATTTAAAAATTATTTTGCTAACTTGAAAAGTTKAATTCCATGTTATTAAGAAACGAGACTTTAGTGTTCAGTAAATTTACTTTTTAACTTTAAACTGTAAGTACAACATCATTAGATCGAAATAACCCTAARAAACATATTATTACATAAAGGTACCATTCGCCAACAAAAATGTTTTCTAATTTAAAAGATAACTAACTCCACACAATCCGAGTGCTACACACACATTGAACCTGCAGTGTGTATTTAAATGATAATATATTCCTGCACTACTACATGATGGTATACAAAACTATCTTGAACATTTTAATAAAAAAAAAAAAAATGTTCTTTTTAGTATGAACTTATTCTGCAAACTTCACGTTAATTGAACTTAACATTTGTAGCAGTGTACGATTGTATAGATTTCAAAATGTTTAAAAGTTTGCATATGCTTGGCAACTGTGATGTTATTCGTTTASTTTTGCGTCTACAATATTATACACCCAAAGAAAGTGCTTGGATCCATCAGTTACGCATTTTCATGGGATTGAGGTGTATGACTAATGGACTGTGTTCGTTTTTTAGCATTCCAACAATATAATTATTCTGAAATGAATATTATTCAAAATCAAAAATAAACATGCGTCCTATGTAGTTGGTATATGTTTTGACATAGACTAACAACGAATGTTAAATAACAATSATAATTATTCAACTTCTCAATGATGATTCTGAGATAATGTACATGTGATATTCTAAATGTATACACTATAAATAAAGTAATAGGTATAATAGGTAATTAAATATATAATAGGTATGTATATAGCCTAACTAGCCAAACAATCATGCGTGGGCAAGAATAAACTAAATGGATTTGTCCTTATTTGCATGTCGTCGGAATATCAAAATTACGATACATGAGGTCATTGATGAGTTAAGCCAAAACTAATAAGTTTGGATTTTGTGTTTCAAATATCTTGATGACTATATTGGCCACATAAAATAATAATACCTACAATAAATTAATAATGATTGAATGYCATATATATTTGTAATATACAGTATTGTTAATAATATGGTATTTTAGAAAAAAAAATATTTATCCTCTCTGTAGGTAATYACATATTTAGAAATGTATTTTGTGTTAACAATATTATTAAGTTATCACTACATTAAGACAATTCAACTTAGATAGTGTAGATAAGTAATGGATAAAAACACATCATTCCCAAACCAAAAAAAATTCTAAATATACCTCTAAGAATCATATTCTCAAGTATGTAAAAATAAAATAAAATGAGCTAGAGTTCCAAGAACTAAAATACGCTGAATATTGGTTATCGAAATGTGTTTTAAACCTACATTGTTGTATGTTTACTATGTACATTATTGTTGTAGGAACCTCCATAGGCACAAATCCTGAGGTGCTAAGCGTGCTTAGCACTCCCAAAGTTGAAATTAGTACCCCCATATTAGAATATAATTATTTATTTACTAGATTATATATTTATATCGTTTTTAATACTTTAAATATTTTTAACAAAAAGTAGACTCGTGCAACTATAAAAAATATATTTATTGATTTATATTTTATATAGGTACCTACAGGAAAAAAAATTTTAATTGATTAATTATTTTTGACACATATTAATTGCAATATAATTTGTAATAAAAGTTTCTATTACACTATTTGCATAGTGTTTTATTCAATAATAATTTTCTCGCGGGTAACTTATAAGTTGATTTTGGAGGAGTTTGAGCACCCCTTGAGTACTAAGTGGATTTTCGTCTATGAGCACCTCATTATACTTATATATTACATACGATTAATTTCCGCAATAAAAGTTTTTTGATAAAAGCATATATTTATTGAATAAAAATACAACATGTTATCAAGGTATGAATTATTATGCTTTATTAAAAAATTATATTTTTAAATATTTTTTATCCTTATCATTTTTTAAGTTTTTTCCTTTTTTGAATAACAACATAGTTTTTTAATTTCATATTCCAAAGCAGAATATTTTTCTAAGTATTTTGATTCATACAAATCGAATTTAGGACGAGTAGTTTATGAGTTATAAGTATTTTAAGTTTAAACAAGTGGAGTAGTGGACAAACATTTTTGTTTTTTTTTGCGGGGTGACCTCGTACCACTCCACTCCACTAATCTAAACTTTAAATACCTATAACTCATAAACTACTAGCGCTAAATTCGAAATTTTAACGTAATAATTAATAAAAAAATAGCTTTATTAATTTATGAAATTTTAAGTATAGGTTACCATTTGAAAATCAWAAATTGATAATGGTTTACCTAATAAATATAAATGTGAAAAATATTTAAAAAAATATACAATTCAAGACAAGTGTAAATCTACAGTTTTGAAAAAAAAAATTTGAAAAAAGTCAATACTTTTTAAAAAATTGAGT